GAAATCTCTCGGCTTGATTGACTGCTGTGACGGTGTCTGCGTGGGCGCCGGCTACCAGGGCCGCCACAACAAGCGCCCCGATGCACACTTTAGGCTGCGCTTTGTCGTTCTTCATTATTTCGACTTTATTTTTTCCGATTCGCCTCAAAATGGGAGAAAGGGGGAGGAAGAATAACTATAGGCTCGTAACCCCTTGAACTTCCTCCACTCGCAATGCTAATCCAGAAGATAATGTTTACGTTCCGCCGAAAGCATCGGCTTAGTACTAAAAAATGAAACAAAAAAGTAAAGAATATTGTCTCAAAGTCTCGAAAGCAAAGGCCGTCTTAACACACTTCAGTTTAATTCCGTAATCCACCTTCCGAGCCCGCGCTACCGCCACCCGCGAAGCCCAGAGACGGAATGGCCGACGAGAATACAAGCGAACGACGATTCCCTACGACTTGTCCGCCACAGACCACAGGCTGCCATTGCCGAGTGGAAAATGTCGACTCGACGAATAATAAATGATATCGTGCACAAGAGAGATTCGTCGCCAGCCAATGCAGCTCCGTAACTGTTACTGAAGCTAAAATTGATACGACAGCTGTTGCGTATCATGTGTTTCAGATATCTCTCTCTCTGTGTATAACGAAACCACATTTCATGATAATGATGTCTGTAATTATATTAAAAGCAATGATATTAACAATAAAAAACAGCAAGAACAACAACTGTAATAATAACAGCAATAACTGTAATGATAATGGGAATAAGAATAACAAGAATGATAATGGCAATATTGATGATAATTATAATAATCAATATAATAATTGTAATGATATTTATAATGATGATGATAACATTAATAATCACGATTACAATAACAATGATAATAATATGATAGAAATGATGAGAATCATAATGATGATTATAATATTGAAAAATGATAATGAGAATCACAATGATTGCAGAGATAGGAGCAATTATGATAATGATAACCATTACTAGAACTATTGATAATAATAATGGTGATAACAGTGACGATAACGATAATCATGATGATAATGATGTTAATTACAATCATAATAATGAAGATGATAATAATGTATATGGATATATATATATATATATATATATATATATATATATATATATATATATATATATACATATATATATTTATGTATAAATATATATTTTATATATACTCAAATATACATGTGTGTATATACACGCACTTGCACACACACACTTGCACATACCTACATACTCACACACAACCCCAACAGCGCTGCATATTGCATATCATGCAGCACATGCAATAAAGCATATTTTGGTGAAACGGGAAGTGGTTTCGACGTCAGAATCGAGCTAATGTTCGTCTCCACAGGATTTCCAGCGCCATGGTGGTGCGTGTGGAGGAAGCTGGACATCCACCGAACTGGATGGAAGCAGAAATAATTCAATGAGGATTGAACAAAAAAGAAAAATTACGAAAGCTGCATACATCGCGACAAAGCACAATATAAACTGACATCAGGCACTTTTGCATATCTAAGGTCACTGCCACAATTATGCGGGAAACGAGTGACAGGTGCTCAGGTGGTTCGTCTGCACATGTCTGATATAAGGTCTCTGATCTTGCAGATGCCTGCATTTCTGACGAAGCTTTAATCAAAACCGGTTGAAGACTTCTCTTGTATTGTGAAGATGTTAATTCTCATTAATACCTTTCTACATTTGCCGTAATGAACGCGCACGCACACACACACACACACACACACACACACACACGCATATATATATATATATATATATATATATATATATATATATATATATATATATATATATATATATATATATATATATACGCATATGCATACATTGATATTTGTATATGTATATTTATATATATATATATAAAATATATATATACATATATATATACATATCTATATATATCTCTCTCTCTCTATAATATATATGTATATATATATATATATATATATATATATATATATATATATATATATGTGTGTGTGTGTGTGTGTGTGTGTGTGTGTGTGTGTGTGTGTGTGTGTGTGTGTGTGTGTGTGTGTGTGGTGTATATATGGCTAGATAATTCAACCATACCACAGGATTTACTAAAAGGAGTGTGCAACAAGGATCTCACAAGCTCCACAGACATTTATTAGAGTAATTATAGCAAGGTTTTATACACACTTACCGTGAGCACTCTGAGGCAATTGAATTTCTAAATCAGTGTGCGTATGTATACATCACAATAATCTAAGCATGTCCCTCAACAACGAGCTATGTTGATGAAGACACAGAGACCCTCTGCGACCAACCTCCAAGTCGTCTATGATGATATATATAAAAAGGACATCATTATGGATCAGGGCGACTGGAATGCAAAGGTGGGAATCGATTCACAGGCATAATGAGGAGGACACCTGTGGATCCTCCTGCAACCCCTTGACCAACGACAAACAAAGGCTCTTGGAATTTGCTGCCACAGACAACTTAATGTTAGCAAATACCCTTGGGACGCACAAATTATTAATGAGATGGATATGGCACAGCTCTGGTAATCAGTACCATGACCAGATTAATTACATCATGGTTCCAAAACGGTTCCAGTCAGGAGTGAACACGACACGTCGACGCAGTTTCCTAGGTGCTGATATCGGTAGCGACCACACTCAGGTTCTAATGATCTTCAAGGTTAAACTAAAATAATCAGAACACTAAAACACACTCATTTAAGATACGGCCTAGACAAACATAAAGATCCAGCTATAAAAGAGGAATTCCAGGCAAAAATTGGCGGGAAATTTGCACTTCCACTAACCCTCAGTGAGGTCATCAACGACCTGGAGCCGATAATGGACACTTTCAACAGTGCATTATCGCAGACTGCCGATGAGCTCTTGGGGAAACATCAACCAAAAAAAACTTGGGTCACCAGCATGGCACTGGAGATGTGTGACTGAAGGAGGGGAGTTAATGTACGGTCAGACTAGCCATAGATTCGTGAAATCCAGTGATTGTTAATGGAGTTTGCCCATCGATGGACTCAATCCACTGGACTTTCGCCCACACGTTCAATGGACGAATGGAAAAAATGCACATGTTTATAGTAAGTAATTTATAGTAACCATGTTATGCATATATTTTTCATGTTAAAGCATAACTATTAAATACTTTCAATCACTCAGAATTATTCATATTTAGTTTTAAATCAATATTTACATTTAGATTTAACTAAAATACGAATAAAGATTAAAAACAAAAGTATGACAATGGATCCTCATTTGACTGACGAATGTAAACAAACACGTAGCCCCCGTGAATATTCGAAATGTGGAATTCTGAAGCAATTTACTCCATTCTAGAAAAGGTTAGAACTCCGGACACATAAAAGAGTAGCAAGAGTTAGGGAGAAGATCGCAGGATCCATAGCGAGTTTTTGCAGTCACGATTTGTTTTGATTCCACTGGACAAAGCCGATGGTTCTTTTCGTAGTCTTTCGCAACACCACGGATGGCTGGGTTGGTTCCAGCTCACAGAAAATCGCTGGATTCAAGTGAAATTCATGGGTAGTCTGACTGTACCTTACGAGAAGCAAAGGTGAGCCGTGAGAGGCCAACTTTGCAGAGAAGCTAAGAACAAGTTCTGAAAAGAGATAAAAAAGCGAAAATCTTAGAAAATCAATCCAAGGATACTGAATTAATATGACAAGAGATACCACAAAAGATCCATATCTGGTGGTAAAACAGATTACGAAAAATTAAGGTAGACCAACCCATATACAGAACGAAGGAAACTGAGGAAAAGAAAATCCTTGGAAGGTGGACTGAATATTGCGCAGAGCTATACGGCCACCGAATAAACGGAGATCCGATGGTTCTGGATTGTCTACATACTAACAGAAAATTGGCTTCAGATCCTGCAGGACAAGTTACACAAGCTCTCTCTATCTTCCTTGTATGCACGTGAAACTAGGACCCTCACAGCCGATCTCAATGGGTGTATTTTCAACTATCAAAAGTGACAGGTCCCGGATCTTTTCCCCTAAACAGAGAAAGGCAGCCTAAAATCCTAAAAAAAAGGACAGTGCGTTCCCCAATAATTGCACAACAATCAAACACGAGACTGCACTGAAGAAATTGTTTGCCAGGATTCCCATCAACCCTGTTAGAGCCGTGAAAGTATGATTTTATAATCATAAGCCTAAGTGTTTCTTTAAATGAATAGCAGATTCTGTGTTTTATTTTTGTACTAAAGATATAACACAATCACTGCCAGAAAGCACATCTGAATCGTATCTATTAGTATTACAATTAGTAGGCCTACAATGTAAAAAGTAATTAACTTTGGTAGGCCCTAATGAATCCGCATTCGAATACAAGCACACACACACACACACACACACACACACAACACACACACACACACACACACACACACACAACACACACACACACACAAATACACACACACACACACACACACACACACACACACACACACACACACACACACACACACACACATATATATATAATATATATATATATATATATATATATATATATATATATATATTACTTGATCTCAAGATCTGGTTCAGTTATTTTGATTTGTTTGTATTCCTTGAGCATACAATTCCATAAAGTTAAGTTTCAAATTATCTTCAATCTTTGAAAAGAATAAACTTTCAACACTGATATAGTCATAATACAATAAATGGTTCATAAGTACATGTCTAATTAAAAGCACGCATGCATAATCTGCATATGTAGAGTCATACTATGTATATCGTGTAGATATAGTAACATATTTACACATATGCACGCACGTACGTACTCATAATGCACACGCACACACACATCTATCTATCTATATATGTGTGTGTATATGTGTGTGACATAATGTGTGTGCTTTATGTGTGATTTAAAGTTATACTTGTTATAACAGTGGACGTGTTATTATTAATGTTTTAAGTAGCTTCTTTCTAATAAGAAATTAGACCCATGTCAAAGAATAAACATATTGCTCTACATATATGCTTGGCTGCTCAAATGTCAAATATACGAGATATGTGTTTAAAGATACAGTCATATAAGTATAATTTACAGTATCTGATGTAAAATTTCAAGAGTAACATATTCATTTTTTATGTCACTTGAACTGAAAGAGAGGTGACTCGATCAAATATTCACAGTGAGCATGGCAGATCTATACCAATGTTTACCTATGTCATGCGTATCATATCTATAGCTATTTAATATCATACCAGATGTATTCAGGTTTAATTTTTTTATAACTTTATAGCATTAATTTTTCATTAAAGAATCGCCTAGAGTGCAGGAAATCAATCACATCGTTAAAAAAGATTCCCGCCCCGTGATTTTACGCAGGTTACGACGCTCAGCTGTTAGAGGGCCTACACTGTTATTTTATGAGATTGGGATACGCACCTGTATGTATGCACACACTCACGCACACATATAGATAGATAGATAGATAGATAAATATGTATATATATATAT